TGGTTATCGCCAAATACACTCTTCCGATCTCCTCGACTCTGTCTTTTGATTTCTCTTGGTGGGAACCAAATATATTAGAAGGTGTTATTGGTAGAAGCGTTGTCAAACACTGAATACCTGTGACATCATCATTGGTGAGACTGTTCCTTTTTGGGATTTTTATATATGATTGCCTTATTTTTTATTTTTCTTAAACATTGTGATTTTTTTCGTGTTGCACATGGTCCCTAAAAAGGACAGCAACGATTGGCGTCCAACTGGTGACTATCGGCAATTGAACGCGAAAACCATTCCCGATCGTTACCCGTTGCCTCACATTCACGATTTGACAGCTACCTTGAAAGTTACAACTGTCTTTTCGAAAATTGATTTGGTAAAAGCGTATAACCAAATCCCTATGGCTACTGACGACATACCGAAAACAGCTATCATAACTCCCTTCGGACTCTTCGAATTTTTGCGAATGCCTTTTGGTCTAAGAAATGCTGCTCAAAAATTCCAAAGATTCATAGACGACGTTTTTCGAGATCTCAACTTCGTACACGCGTATGTGGACGACTGCCTAATCGCAAGTCCGGACAGAGAAACACATCTCAAGCATCTGGATCTTGTTTTCGAACGACTACAAAAACATGACATTACTGTAAACGTTTAGAAATGCCAAATTGGAACCGACTCATTGGACTTTCTGGGACACACTATCGATGCTCAAGGTATCCGACCCCTTAGAACCAAAGTGGCGGCCATTCTGGATTACTCAGAACCGACCACCGTTAAGCAATTACGCACGTTTAACGGCCTCGTAAGTTTCTATAGACGATTCATACCGAAATGCGCATTACTCATGAAACCGCTAACCGACCAACTTCGTGGAAATGCGAAATCCATTAATTTGGACGACACCGCACGAAAATCATTCTCCACAGTTAAGGAACTGATTGCTAAAGCAACAATGCTCGCACATCAGGACACCAAAGCACCTATTAGTATCGCAGTAGACGCATCCGACTCGGCAATCGGAGGAGTCTTACAACAATGGGTTAACAACTCCTGGCAACCCTTGGCATTTTTCTCTAGAAGGTTGCTAGACACCGAATCGAGGTACAGCACATTCAGTAGGGAACTCCTAGCTATGTATTGTACTGTACGGCATTTCCAACACTATATCGAAGGTCGTGAATTCACTCTTTTCACGGACCATAAACCACTCACTTTCTCGTTAAGCTCTCCTTCAGACAAGTACTCTCCCCGTGAGTCTCGACAACTGGACTACATTTCGCAGTTTACTTCAGATATTCAACACATCTCTGGAGCAAACAATGTAGTTGCAGACGCCTTATCTCGCATAACTTCCTTGAACAGTTTCCAAGGAATCGACCTTCTTAAACTTGCCCAGCTTCAAAAAAAGACACTGATCTTCAGCACGAGTTATCGTCCACAACCCTTAAACTACGCATCAAACAGATGGGGACAGGTAAGGAAACCTTACTTTGTGACACATCTACAGGTAGGGATCGCCCAATCGTGCCGAAACATTATCGACGCAATGTCTTCAATACATTGCACAAACTTTCTCATCCAGGCGTTCGTGCAACCATCAAGCTTATATCAGAACGGTTTTGCTGACCTGGCATGAATAAAGACGTGAGGGAGTGGGCACGCTCCTGTGTAAGCTGCCGAAAATCTAAGGTTATCAGACACAATAAATGTCCCTTAGGCTCATCTAAAACTCCCGATGCTCGTTTCGACCATGTTCATTTGGATTTGGTAGGACCCTTACCAGATTTAAATGGATACGCTTACCACAAGCAAACGGGTTGGTAGAACGTTTTTACCGACAACTAAAAGCCTCACTATCAGCTGCAAACGTTTCACAGTGGACCGACGCTCTTCCACTTGTCTTAATAGGTATCCGCAATGCAGTGAAAGCTGACATTGGATACACTGCGGCTCAACCCGTTTATGGAACGACACTTCGACTTCCAGGAGAATTCGTGGATCCTTCATCCTCTTCAATGAACATGGATCTAACCTCCTACACGAACAGGCTTACAAACGCAATGCGTTCAGTTAAACCTGCTTCCACTCGACCTCAATCAACTGATGTATTCGTTCAACCTGACTTACGACATAGTACACACGTTTTCGTTCGCCGAGACTCGCATCGACGACCATTCGAATCAGCATACGAAGGACCCTTCAAAGTTCTTCAACGTGAATCTAAGTACTATATAGTCGATAAGAACGGAACCAACGATAGCATCAGCATCGATCGCTTAAAAGCAGCGTATTTATAAGGAAATCCTATTCACTTCGACTTCCCTTCGGTACAATCGCACAACACGACTCCTACACTCATAATTCCTCAACCGACAACCAACACTAGCGATGATACTCCGAATGTATTTGAAAATACACCTAAAACGACGCGTTCTGGAAGAAGAATAAGATTTCCAGAACATTCAAACGACTACTGCAAGTAAGGCCTTATTCGACATTTTATATTATCTCGATTTTTCTTTTTACGATTTATAATATTTTTTAAAAAACAATTTTAATATGCCTATATATTAATATTTTTAATTTTTAAAAAAAACAAAAAACAAAAAAATTATTTTTTTAACGCTATTACGTGTGTTTGAGTTTATTTTCCATTTTTTCGCCGACATTGTGTTTTTACGCACATACGAGTGTATTTCGACATGCACTTACACTTTCTTTTTTCTTTTCCAGGACGGCTGGAAAAGAACGATGCAGTTTACGAGGAGCCGAAGTTTTGATTGTACTTTTTCTTCTTTTACTATGTTGTACCTCAGTCCCATATCGTGAGGAAAGACGACCAGACGCTGCTACACTTAGTAAGCTATCAGAAGAGTGCTTAACAACGACAAACTCGTCGGGTTTAAACTTCTGGCTGGCCACGTCCTAGGGTCGTCACTGCCCCACAAGGGGGGGGAGTGATCTGTAGCGGTAATTAAATCCCCAAAATAAATAGCTCTAAGTTTTCGACATTGGATGCTGACCATATGTTTTAGTGGACTCATCTAGCTGAAGGCGCTAGGCCATGCATCCGCACCAGATCACGTATGGTAACGCCGTGCTCAACATCAACCGCAATCGCTAGCCAGATTAGATCAGAGAATTGCGATATATTGGTTATCGCCAAATACACTCTTCCGATCTCCTCGACTCTGTCTTTTGATTTCTCTTGGTGGGAACCAAATATATTAGAAGGTGTTATTGGTAGAAGCGTTGTCAAACACTGAATACCTGTGACATCATCAAGCCTCACCAGTGTTGTAGCTAGAATATTGGATAGAATAGTCAAAATACCATAAGGACATTTGTGGAGACCAACAACATGTTAGACAGCGAACAATATGGTTTCAGAAAGGGTTTGTCTTACACAACAAACCTGCTTATAGCATGGGAGTCTTTAATAAAAGCGCTGGACAACGGAAACTCGGTGGATGTTGTCTACATAGACTTCAGTAAAACATTTGACAAGGTGCCAACAAATAAACCGCTATTGAAGTTGGAAAATCTTGGTATTGCCGGAACTCTCTTAAAATGGATTAAGGATTTCCTAGTAGGTCGTAAACGGAGAGTAAGAATAAATCCCAATTGCTCCATCTGGAGACCAGTACTTATTGTAGTGCCTCAAGGTTCCGTCCTAGGTCCTTTACTTTTTATAATGTGTGTAAATGATCTTCCAAGTATAGTAAAGTCTCCAATGTTATTGTACGCTAACGATGTAAAGATCTGGCGAGCAATAACCGGAGATACAGACGCATGTGCTCTTCAGGCAGACTTAAATAATATGATTAACTGGTCTAAAGAGTGGCTGATGCCTATCAACGCGGCAAAGCGTGTCTACATGCATAATGGGGACTCAAAGGTTAATAGGTACAACATAGGAGAAGTGCATGTACCCGTGGTCCAGTCTCATAAGGATCTTGGGGTGACAGTGAGTCATGATCTTAAGACGACAGCCCATTGCCATGAGGTCGCAGCTAATCGGTTTAGAATCCCCTGGGCTTTAAGGCTGACATTCACTAAGTTAGATACTACCATGTTCACCACAGTATATACATCCTTAGTGAGAACTAGGCTTGAGAACTGCGTTCAGGCTGAAAGCCCCTGTCTAAAAGGTGACTCGGATATCCTGGGAGAAGTACAGAGGGTAGCTACCCGTGCAATTGCAGAAGTACGGGGTTTACCATACAATGAACGAATTGAAAATCTGGACCTCTTTACTCTGTCCTGTCGCAGACTAAGGGGCGATCTAATTTTGATGTATAGAATAATAAGAAACGATTTTGAACCTAACATATCCTCTCTTTTTCTTCTCACTAGGCCGGGACATCTCAGAGGACATAGCAGGCGAGTCGAAAAGCCAAGAATGAACAAACTACCCGTGGCATACAGGTTTTCACACCGAGTCATCAATACTTGGAACCTGTTACCCGAAGCAGTGGTGTTTGCACCTTCAATTGTCTCATTCAAGAGAAGACTGGACACTCATAGAAGCATACTAGAAAAGGAATAACATGGGCAGTAGGCCTTCTGTCCTTGCTACACAAATCTGAAATCTGAAATCCTTTCATCCTGGAATTATTATCTGAGTTTTCTCGCTTCGATTATTTTTGTACGTCCAACAGTGGACTGATGGCATATTTTCTACTCATCGACATGAATCAAGTAAAGAAGTTTCATACTGTCTGAGATGAGTTATACAACTTTGCAGAAGTCCTTCTAGGATATACTTGATATTCCCATAATACTTTATGTAGCACTTCATTTGAACTGACCAAAAATTCTTCTATTTTCGCCCATATTTAATTACATAGTCACATTACTGAAAGAAATGACGATCCATGGCTGCTAGATAGATAAAATTGTTAGTCGGAAGCTTATTCCATGTATAACCATTTGAAACTGTATTGTAAATCGAAATAGTTTGAAGGTCAGGGCTTTACATCCAATTTTCGCGCTTAGATATGGATTTCATCCAAGATCTTCGGCAATCAGAATCCAAAGGGCCAAGCCCATCTATCTTGGAAATATTTGATGTTCTGTGTAACAATGAGGGAGGGGACTGTTTTGAGCGTCCACTCGGTAAGTATTATGTAGTCGTCCCCAATTGGGGAAATACCTGAAATTTTGGGGGATTTGTGCCATTTCCCAAAACTTTCTATAGCGGCTTCACCAAGATTTTCTCCAAAATAGTCAGATTGGGCAAGCAACCAACAAAGGGCCTTTTGTTGAGATAACCCTGGGATATTCCATTAGAAAATAACGGGAAATAGCGCCAGAATGTCAGCTATTTTGCCTGTCATGGAGGGAATAATCAGTAACTTCCCCTTCTCACGGGCTTATGAATCCGATTTGAAACTTGATGCTCTCGATCTCCCAATTATGTAATAATTTTGGAAATTTCCTCGTGAGATGGACGAAATTCCCCTAATGTCTATGCATATTTTGTAATCTTGGAGGTTTCTTTAAGCTCAGTCAAAATTTCGAGGAAAACGCAACTAAGTTTTCGATGCAGCTTCTACTAAGTTTGCCAAAGTTGGCAAGTTTTAACTAGATGATACCACTGGACTGGCATAGGTGGAACGATGTTAGAGCCTGTGACCTAATGGTTAAGATTCGAGTGCATGAACCACTTAACCACCGCCTAGTAGATCTAACTTAGTCGTTATCCTATTATGTTGGGGTGAACTACTTTTTATGTTAAAACTAATAGTTTCTGTTGTTATTTCAAGCCCATAGCTTATTCTACCTCCCGGACAGGCTAATTTATTCATTCTTCCTGAGTCACATTTGAACCTTGTTGATTGCTCGCTTGTCGACCTTGACTTTTTATGTAAGTGTGTGTATTTCTTATCCTACTCAATACATGTCTGTAGCTTATTTTTTTTCTGACTATAAATATGGATTAACGCTCGATTAAATCGAGTTGGCTTACACGCCTCTACTGCGAGTCATTTCGCTTCGTCTATGATTGTCTTTTCTGATTAACGATTGTACAAAATATACGTATTCAAAACTTCATTCTCGTATTCGACTTGCTTTAATCCCATCATTTACTAACTCGAGTTAAGTCGATAATTATATACGAGGATCGGTGATATGCTTATTTCGATAGAAATCAGCATACAATCCAACTGGAGTCAGATCTCGGGCCACAAGTCCATAAACTTAACAGAGGCTACTTACTCGGATGGTCACTGAGTACTGTCGTCAAAACTAATGACGTTAAATAGTATTTGTGGCGGTTTCTTATTTTTTGATATCACGAGTACGCCCCTTGAAATAATGACTTGGCTGACTTTTCACTGATTGGTCCGTCTAAAGACTTACTAGTCGGATAAAAGTACGCAGGTAATATATTTTTGTCTAATTTGATCATAGAAAGTAAAGTAGTCGAGCGTGCTGGCCATTTCTCTTATCTGGAAAGTCTTATTTGCTCTGGTTAGTCGGTAACTTATAAATTCTCAACAGTGATTCACCAAACCTATTCAGCCCTTACCAGCTTGTAACATCTTCCCCTTAGATATTCTAAAACAGCTGCCATAGAATTTCGGTTAGAAGGAACCTAGGAGTCCCCAAACTAACTCATGTTATCAGTCCGTCTCGCTATTCACATTAAGTCTACCATATTTGTAAGTGCTACATGGCCGGTAAGAGTAGAGGATATCCGTAGGTTACTAGTATTTGATCATAGGTGTCTTCGAAACATTGCTCGTATATCATGGGACCATCGAGTAAGTAACACAGTTGTTAGGAAACGGGTACTAGGTAAGGATGGCAAATGGATTGATGACGTAGTGAAACTTCATCAGTTGAGATGGCTGGGACACGTGTTACGTATGCCCAACGACCGACTGCCTCGACGTGCTATGTTCAGTGGTATAGGAGTAGGTTGGAAGAAAGCTAGGGGCGGCCAAACCGAAACATGACACAAGTCCATGAAGTCACTGACAAGTGGACTGAGTCATGTTGGTAGGTGTAGACTACCTGGTTGGGGACCGCGAGATGACAGCAACTGATGGTTAGAGACCCTGAATGACATGGCTCAAAATCGTTTGCAATGGCGCAGGTGCATCCACTCTCTGTGTTCTCCCAAATTCTAATCTTCTGAATTCTTCATGTCCCTTTTTTCCTCTTTCCAAATTTATTTCACTGGATTATACTCTTTAAATAACATCTCCAAACCATAATCTTCCCGATTACTTCTTATACTCGAACTGATGTACGTACGTACGAAGTTCTACGTTGTTACTGACTGACTGAGTCTTCCCGATTACTGCTTATACTCTTATTACCTCTACCACTACGGGATTTGAATCGACAAGTGCATCTCTGTGCTAATGTGGTGTGGCAACTCGAACTGATGTACGTACGTACGAAGTTCTACGTTGTTACTGACTGACTGACTGATTTGTAAGTGCTAACTGTCCTCTTGGGGTCCCCATGACAAGAATGTTCATCATTTGTGTCTCTTAAATGGATTACAGTAACTCAGGTTCATCCTTTCTGTACTCTTTTTTATACGATGGCCGAAGATTAGACCTAACAGTTAGGTCTTAGTTGATTGAAGAATGAGTGACCTACAAGCTAATCTCCCCCAATCGCCTATGATATTTCACTATGTTTATTTTGTATTCACCTTTTCATATCAGCATGTTATTATCTCTGTGCTAATGTGGTATGGCAACTCGAGGTGATGTACGTACGTACGCAGTTCTATGTTGATGACTGACTGACATAAGCATATTATTTCATTACACTGTAGCGTGGCGTCGAGTTGAGGTTAACTATGAACACCGCTACAAAGAAACACGTGCCAAGCGAATCAGAAGGCGTAAGAAGCTCGTTCCAAATGACTCCATAAAATCACCGAGAAGCCGAATATCAGAAGGCAATTAATGGACCAAGTCGAGGTTTATTTGCTGGCGATCTCGTGGCATCGAAAGGATACCGAGATCGTGCCAGGATACAACCTTGGTTACAGAAGGTAACCGAATTCGCGCGAAGTTACAATCAAAGTGTAAGTCAGTGAATGGAAGCCCAAAATAGCTGTCATTAGCACAGTCAAACAAAAGCACGTTAAAACAAACACTGGTACAGTTGGTTATAATAATAATTGTTTTTATTAAACCAGTCGTGTTCTCGTGATAAACGTGAGTCACTACAGGAGCCCCCCGCTAGAAAGGGTTTACACTTTCGATAAATAGCGGTTTGAATCGTGGGACTGATCGGCTGACGAGCGATTGTAGGACGGAAGAATTGACGAACAGGAAAGCGATCGTTGATCGTCGAGTTGCCAACGAAGGTCGTTTTCGCAGAACGGTACCAGGAGCGATGTGTTGTATTTGTTGCTTGAGTCGGCATGCTACCAGAGTGGTTTGTATCCAGAATCTGAAGAGGGCGTTCGTACGGGTCCGGACCATAAACGCTGCAGACGAAGGACGAAACCACGTTGAGCCAAAAGACTAGAAGCGACCATAACGACCAAGTTCGAGACCAGGCGTATGCCAAGCATTCGAAACCAATATATCGACTGAGTACGTTGACAAGAGCGTGGGTGATCAGGCCAGCTTTCGCCAAAGTTGACTGAAGTCGACGGAACCAAACGGAGATGGTCGAAGGCGTGGGCTCAGGAAACAAAAAGAAAATCAAAAAAAAGAAGAGTGTAGCATGCGTGTAGTATAGGAATAACCCTACACCGTATCGGTTATTGACTGTGCGGCTAGTCGCGGAAGCGTACGGGTAACCGTACTCGGCGACCGGAACGTGAGACGGCAGTCTCGTTCGTATTTCGTGAGTCTGCAATCTCATCCGAGGTCAGAGGCGGCGTGGTCTGTTGATCTGGACGTGAGACTGTCGTCTCGTCCGTAGACGGTGCAGATGACGCGTGCTGTTGACCGGGACGTGAGAATGAGGTCTCAGATGTATCTAGCGTGGGACCTGAAGAAGATTTAAGGATCCCGCTAGGTTTGATAGGTCTAGCATTGAATCTCAGGGTGTCAGATAGGGCACTGTCATCGACGTGTGCTGATTTGAGACGATCAATGCTGACGATCTCGACGCGTCCATATCGATCAACCTTGAAGGTCTTTTCGTGACGAGCGATCACGTGAAAAGGGCCTTCGTAAGGTTGTTGCCAAGGTTTGCGTACCGAATCTACTCGTACAAAAACATGTGAACAGGTAGATAACTCTCGAGGGAGAGCGACCTGTCGATGTTGTATTCGAGTTGACACCGGAGACAGCGTTCGCATAAATGCAGACAGTCGATGGACGTAGTCTGATTTACCGAAATTAGGTCTGCTCCGTGGTGTGAAGAATTCTCCGGGCAGACGCAATGTCGTGCCGTATACAAGTTCTGTGGCGGAACATTGGATATCTGCCTTTAAACTCGTTCTCACCCCTAAAAGAACGAGCGGTAAGGTTCCGTGCCAGTTGCCGTTTTCGTGTGCTCGTAGAACACTTTTAAGTTGGCAGTGAAACCGTTCAACTTAACCATTTGGTGCTGGGTGGTAGACGGATATGCTTATGCGTATGCATTCCGTACCAAGCAGCCGGGTCAGCGAGGAGAATCGTTAATAGGGTAACATTTCTCGAATAAAGCGTGGAATTCGTCACGCGAATAAAAAGTGACAAGGATTCGGTACACATACGTGTGAGTCTATTATATTAATACTATTCTTATCGTTATCCGTCATGTCGCGTATATTATATATTAAAAATATGAAAATATACGACAGACGTGGATAGATAAATCATAGACTCACCGAATTGGCTTCTTTGGAAGATTTGATCAGAAGTTGAGGCGTGTTCCAAAATACGGGTCACCAATTGTAGCGTGGCGTCGAGTTGAGGTTAACTATGAACACCGCTACAAAGAAACACGTGCCAAGCGAATCAGAAGGCGTAAGAAGCTCGTTCCAAATGACTCCATAAAATCACCGAGAAGCCGAATATCAGAAGGCAATTAATGGACCAAGTCGAGGTTTATTTGCTGGCGATCTCGTGGCATCGAAAGGATACCGAGATCGTGCCAGGATACAACCTTGGTTACAGAAGGTAACCGAATTCGCGCGAAGTTACAATCAAAGTGTAAGTCAGTGAATGGAAGCCCAAAATAGCTGTCATTAGCACAGTCAAACAAAAGCACGTTAAAACAAACACTGGTACAGTTGGTTATAATAATAATTGTTTTTATTAAACCAGTCGTGTTCTCGTGATAAACGTGAGTCACTACAACACAAAAAACTACTCATCTGGCTAGTGTTCCTGTCCTTGATTTCTAATCATCCAGGGGCTCAAGTCAATAATACAATGTCGTGGGTGCCCATCACTCAGTCACATATCTTTACACCCATCTTTTGATTATTAGTATATTCATGGATTTCAACAGACGAAATTTTGTCTTACCAAGTTACAGAAAGTCTCCTGTAGAACATCTTTAAATACTGGTTATTATTATTATTATTCTATTCCTCTATTTCGTTCCTTCTTTTCGAACCATATGTTTTATGTCCAATCCTTCTACTACATCTAGTTCTTTACTATATGTCATTGGTTTTCTCTCGCTGTTTATCCATGTTCTAAAAGCTTAAGCTGATACACATTTGTCCCATATTCTAGGTTATTAATAGCAGATTGATTGTTGTTCAGCTTAAAAAACACATGTAGGTCAGGTAAGTTGTGAATCAAAATCGGCTAAAATATTTGCACTATGGGTTTTGCTTTTAAACTGCTATTTTAAAACATGTTTTGCTAATTGGTATATGCAGAGATCGGGAAAATGGTGGTAGTCATATAAAATCGGAGACAATCCAAAAAGATATCAATACCAAAGACTAAATGACGCGTCTGAAAATAAACTGCAGTTATGAAGATAAACGAATTCTATCTTCCTCTAAACATCAAGGTTTTTTTGTGTATATTTATTTTCTCATATCTATTCAAGTCAGTTTTGAGACGAGGCATTGGAGTGAAAAAAATGTTGGTTACCATTTATCCCAACATGTTAATTTTATAACTAGTACTGTATTAACTGTTGGAGTTTCCTTAAGTTTTACTAACAACTATTTAACACCTAACTGTCTAGGAACATCAGACTTATCTAAGTTAGCATAAAATAGATACCTACTGCCTCCATTTGAAGGGTACTTTAAACAGCGTATTTGAGTTTCGGCTCAATCACTTAAGCTTCTATTTATATTAGGCTTTCATCTGTAGTTATAAAGAATCAGGTGGTCATAGGTAAAGCTCCACACGACTAAAAATCAACTTCGCCTAATGAATCCATTCCAGTATGAAGAATCTACAAAACATATGTCTATTTCCTTTTGTTCTATTACTTATTGGCTGATTTTTTGTCATGTGATGTGACATGTTAAGACACTAACGTACCGACACCATTTCCTACGAATTTATTGTATGCCGTGGTCTTAAAGTACTCAACTTTTGTAGGCTTCATTATCAAGGTTTGATTTGATAATTCCAAATAAATTGGGCATTGGGTAGATTGTTACTGATAAAAATTAATGTATTTGTAGTATCCCAATGAGTAGAAAAATTAAATTTTTAAATCTGACGTTTCGTGACTCAATGTAGGACACTTCTCCAGAGAATAAATAAAATCTCGGAGGAAGTGACTTATAATGAGTCGCAAAACGTCAGAAAACTAAAACATTCAATTTTTCTACTCATTTGGAATATTACAAAAATATTGTTTTTATTCATATTAAGCTTTTTTCATTTACAGTGTCGCCAGATCTTATTGTTATTTAGTTCAACGTTTTATTTATTGTATTTAAAGTACAAAAGTGCACCTCTGGTTTTACTTTTTAATACTTTTTGGCAGTTCCAGATCGAATTGTCAAAATGGTCAATTCAGCAAGCAAAAGACGTCTTGGTAAATTAGATACATTTATGGTGCTCGAATATCTCTGGTATTCTGATTCCTTTCTAACTGACATATCTTTTGTGTAGTTCAAAAAACGTGCCTCCAGTGTCTGTTCTCACAGCCCTATTATTCATTGAGAAACTTGTAATAGCCGATCCTTATTCATCTTTATTGACTGAAGTTACAGCAGTTGATCTTTTTGCTGTATCAATGGTTAGTGAAATGTGATGTAATTATTTTAACTTCTTCAAGGTAGTGGCATCTAAATATCTACATGACGATGATACGGACTATGGAATGTACAATGCAGAATGGGCAGACGAATTCGATATGGATCTCAAAGAGTTGAATGAACTTGAAGTCAAATTCGTTTCCGCTCTTAATTGGGAGTTTTTTGTAACTAGAGCACAAATACTCCAATTTGGTTTTGAGATCGGAGTCTTCCGTCAGATTACCAAGTGTGATTCATTTGGCGACAAACCTGAGTTCAATGTATATTCTATGTTGTCACATATTTCCCAAATCTTTTTGAAGTATTCTAGGCATCGTACTTCACCCGAAATTAAGAGAGTAAGCAAAGTGAGTTTTTGTTTTTGCACGAACTGTGAAAGGTGTCCTGTTATTTATCAAGTGAAATATGATGTAATATCAATTTGAATATTTATAATAACCAAATAACTGAATCTGCGCGTCTTTTAACTTACATCAAGTCATGTGTGTGCAATTAAGTTAGTCAACTATCTTGAATTACTCTGAGTCAGTGTTACGCCGATTTTATTTGTCTGGATTATGGACTTCGACCAAAAGTTAACCAACAGGGAAGATGTTACATTTCGTGTATGGATGTAATGGTCAGCATTAAAAATTTGTCTTAAGTCGATGAAGAGACTAACTAGCTGAATGCTTGTGTTGGTTATGATCAGTCTCTCAATTGTTTGAGAAGTAATAAGAGACTATTATTAATATCCAGTGAATTTTAGGTGTGAAATGCATTCATTTTGCAACTTTTAGTTTAACCCAATCATTCTTGTGTTGATAAAGTTATAAAAGAGTTCTGTTTGTCTAACCGTCATTTGTTTACTTGCACTTTTAAACCGTAGTTGTTTTACTTTCAGATTCTATTAGTCTTGGTGCTCGCTTATCTGGGTACTGACCAATTTTCTCAATGTTCTTTGGAGACACAATACGCTGATCAAAATCAAACACATATTTCTACAATCGTTGTAGATCAATGTCCAGATAATATTCTGTCAAATATGACTCATTCAGACGAACTAACAAATGTTAATAACCAAAATATTGAAGTATGTACAAAAGACCTGACATGCAGATATCATAGCCAACATGAATCCGTATCTTACTCGTATTTTAAAGAAACTGATCCGACTACACGAATGATAAACTGTCCAACATGAAAGTTTACCCAATTATCTAATTCCTCAAGTATTTCCACTCAGTAAATCTTAATATTTTCCACTATTCAGGTACTCCAAGATTCCCAATGGTACTAACATTTCTATTATTTTAATACCTATCTTCATCAGTTGTGTATATAAAGAAAATGTTTTGAATGTATCCTTCCCTCCACGCTTGTTTTTGATCGTTTTTAATGACTAATCTGAGCAAGTTATGCCAAATACTAAGTGAATTGAATGATATTGTTGCTATCATGTTTTTGTTTTTAAGACACAAACAAGTGTCGTCATTACTAGTAGTCCTAACGAACGACCACTCAAGTGGGGGCAACCGATTGTATTTTAGTGCGAAATCACAGTATCTTGATAAAATATAAAAACCGTACATAAAATACTTCATTTTCAAATTTCCATCACTTGTCCTTCACATTCTATACGATTCTTCCAGTCCATAATCCCTTTCTATTCTCTTCAACTTGATCTTCTGTTGCCCGGTTTTCCACTTCCGATTGGTGTTACATACTACTTATGTCCGTCAACATAAGTGGCATACACTACACGCCCTCATCCTAAGGAATGGCATAACAAGAAATTCGTAATTACATTGAAAATGGAATTTTCTGTGAAATTCCTAAATTCCCAGTCATCAATTTGGACCGTTTTCGAAATTGACAGTTAGTGTAGTGTATAATTTAGCTACAGTCAGTAAGCTGCGTTGCCGTTACCTGCCTTCAAAATCGAAGTTTTATTCGACAGCCTAGTTATAATATCACTTTCTATGAAAAAGTGACTAAGATCCGAATATGTGGGCGTAATTGGTTGCCGAGTCACGCCGAATTTAGTCTAAACGAATTGTAGTTTGTTAACATTTGAAGACCTATTACAAACCATCTTTTCTCCACCATCTTATCCTCTCAGATTTCTCACTTTGTTCTGTTATACACTGGTTCTTCAAGTATTACTGTATATTCACATAGTCTTGATATTAACAATGAACATATAATGTTGTCTTAAAACCTCTATCCATAGCTCTAAGAATAATTACTTGATTATATACTGATATTGGTTCGTGGAAGAGTGCTTTCAAATCAAACGAACTCCTTACAAACCCACGTATGCAAATAATAATTACGTGCCCACAGAGGACTTCTTTCTTTCTGTTGGGGACGTTAGATCCCCAGAACTCACTTGAGGAAGTATCTGATTTTGTAATTTTATTTAGAATATTTGAGTTTCTTTGTTTTCACGCCAAAAGCGCTCTTGTCACCATGTCGTATTTCCCACTGGGAAATATCTTAAATGCTATTGGTCCGTTGTGTCTTTTAGTATTGTATTTGGTAACTCTCCCCAAGGACAGTTTTGTACTGTATATGTACGTTTTGAATTATGTTTGTTGTTATCACTCGTTTCTGGCTGTTTGCAGAATATACTTCCCCATTCCAAGCTTGGACTTCTTCCTCTAGGTAGCGGGGCTGGGGCGCATCAAATAGCTAGCTGGTCTTTGATCACTGAGTCTTTGTTCTCGTTCGCAGATTAAGTGAACTCGTGATAGCTTCAACCCTAGCACTTTCATCTTCCGATTAACCGTGTGAGAGCGTGCTTTTTAGTTAACCAAGTTGAGCATGCGGATTACTCCTTTATGACATTGGGCGGTAGTTGCACTGGATCACAGACTAACCGAAGCTGGAAAACGTAGATCATTAGTATCTAATTAGTGGCAGGATGGTGTCGCCATGGAAGCAAGACCTACAGTTTGCGGTTTTGTTTTAGCACGGACAGTTGGGAACGTGGACAAAGTAGGTGCTAAGAGCCTTCCATTTTGTTTTTTTGTCGAAATTCGCCACATTTTAGTGGTCCAAGTAGATAAATTTATGATAATTATTTGACCCAACAGTCGGCAGATACATCGAGGACTTAAGGATTCGAAACTAGTGTTCCAATGATCCTTGTGAACAAAAGTACACGGACCAGGAGTCCCGAATACTAACCGCTAAACTTGATTTACTGTATCTAAAATGATCGGTTCCGTAGTCGCTTAACGTCTAACTGCAGCCCTCAAGCGTGCTAGTTCGGCTGAGCGCGGGGATAAAGAGTCGGCTGTAGTACTTATCATCAATAGATGTCTAAATGATTACTTGAGTGTACTACCCTTAACTCCCATTGTGTTCCAGTTCGTACGAAACGTGTAAAAGACTTACTCATAAGGAACAGGCCATTTTTCGTTTAAATGGTGAATATACCGATTACGCCACCAACCCCATCAGATAATCCAGCATCGTCACATGCATAACACACCAACAATCGTCGTTTCGTAACAATAGAACTGCCTTTCATTCGCTGTACACGATTTTACTATGGAAATACGTGGATGCCTTCTAGGTTTATAAAGACATATACGAAGTAGGTCCTGGCGCACATACAGCGATGGAGAAAGCCTCTCTACTGATGTTCTAGGAACAGTTCTGACTTTTTTAGATTGTATCTAAGCACAGCTAGGGAAATAGAAGCAGAGAAACTAGGGGAGTATATGTATCTCTATATGCGTATTTGGAGCAAATAGACACAAGACAAACGAGTGTTATTTCTACGAGTAGCTTTTACTGTAGTTAAATTAAGATTAGATTTATTTATCATTGAGTGTTCCAAAATGTAGAGCTAAGCAAACAGTATCCGAGGATTTTCGCTTCCAGATTTTAAAATATTGAGTAGCCGCAGCTGAGGTTTATGTAACTATATTTGAATAAAAATTTATGTGATGATTTTAGTGATTTATTCTGTACAATCAAGTATTTCAGTAACTTTAGCTAGTGAACTATCATTGTTTGCATACTGTTTTTTATTTGTCTCTCTTTCTCCTGACGGAAGTTCAACTGGTTGATTTTACGTATCTTTCGTCGCAGTTGACGGTGTTCCTTGATAGCGGCTTTACGTAAGCGCTTTTGTTCTAAAGACTCTCCCTTTTCTCTCGCAAGTAACCCAGGGTCTAGCGGTTTTGGAAATTCCATAATACCATCGTTGTTTTGAGAACCTTCCTTCGTGGATGACTTCTTTTTCGTCTTACTAGAACTGGGCATTGTTAGATGGTTGTGCTTCATAACATTTAGGTTCGAATTACCTATTAAAAAGTACGTAGTTAAAAATCGAGTTAAAAAGTAATTATAGCTAAAACTGTATAGGGATTATTTCTCTATATTCACACCTTGAATAACTTTAACTGATCACATATTCAGTTAGAAGTCACGATCAACATAGAACCTGACACGTCTCCACTAGCCAAAGTTTTCATAACACATTAGCACGACGAAATGAACAGCAACGGAGTCGAAATAATGAAGCCAGTGATAATGAAACAGACTCAGCATAAACAATATGGTTAGTGAAGATCAAACAAAAAGACATGTAGGAATACGGAAAATAAAGAGGGAATGGATCTCCGTCATTGTGACCCATTCCAAGCTATACCACCTAATATCTTCAACTACTGAGGCAGTTGTTGAGAGGAATCGGATTGCAGATAGTGTGCCTATAGGACAGATGTTGACACAGACCAGTCCTGAAACATTTTACATTCGGAGGGAAACACAATAAAAAAACTCGTTGATATCTTCATCAAATAAGACTATCATCTGCGCATTCGATGTCGATAAACAAACCTGGTAGGAGACCAAGTCCTGATAAGTTGTTTGAGAATGCCATTTCTAGAACATCGACGACAAAATTAGATGGGAATAGCGGAAGCTATTAATCGCTGTTTCTCGACATCAAGGCCGTCTTCAGTCAGTCGGGTAGGATTGTGTTTTAAGACCACCTGTTGAAGAAGTGTCTTATGAAGTTAATTAACATCTTGAAAGTTTTTTACATAGACAACTCAGGCAGACTGAGAGGATACACCACATCTCTCTTCTTTTCCATTCCAGCAGTAGGGTTAAGCAGAGTTTCTTAGTCTCATCATTCCCCAACTTTGCAACTGCTGAAATTCTGCAAACAGAGTTGGTGGTGGGAGTCTAGATCCGTTACCTGGAGTGGAACCTGACTAAACTAATGACACCGTATTTTGCGCAACGATACCAATTATTGATTTACTACTTTTCTCTCCTTTATTTTATTCACGGTATTATAGCTTTAATTCTGGTGTTTCGGTGGTTTACTTTATCAGGAATTATTTGATTAGGTGGATATATTAGATGTTAATCGAATCAAAACTCTGAGGACTAAAGGTCGATTTGTCAAACCATGAATCAATATGCACATTCATGAGATAAAACCATAAATGAGAGACACAATGTCTACTATGTCTTAATTAACCTTTTTACTATGCTTTTGCATAGTGGCAGTGTGGAGATTGTTGAATTTATACTTTGTATCATTTCAGTTAGGTAATCAGAAAGCATTGAACATTTATTTAGTTTTATTATAGGACTCCACAGCAGTGGGTATCCACGATAACACAAAATATCAAACTCAAGACCTTCTAACTTTTCGGCACTCAGTGACCTACATTCCCAACTTCGGTCAATTTACGATCATCATCCAGTTGAATCAGTGATATTCGTCCTACACCTGGCAGTTTTTCAAAATGTTATATCAGCGCTAATAAATGTTAACCCACCAACCCATATACATAAGTAGTGTATTTTCTTAAAATAAAACGCTTTTTTGATACTGTTTGCATCACGAAAATGCGTCTAAACCAATGAAAATAAGAAAAATGCTTACTGTTAGAACATGAAATGGTCATTCGTTCAGTGTTTTCTCCGTCATACGTGGAATCGCTTCCACTGTCTTCGTCTTGATCCACTCCATTCAATTCGAAGCATTTTTTTATTGTTATGGCTTTTAGATCATCATCAAAATCCGTATGATCTTGTTTTACTCCCCTTAAATGAACAAAATGAGGATTTGAGGTGATAAGTAGTTACTCCGATAATATATCTATATATAAGCATATATGTGCATACCAGCTGATCAACTACGATATAACTGTTAACTCCATAGACTTGTTCAGAAAATTTTCCTGATGCATAGAAATCAAATAATAAGTGTGGAGTGTTTGTTTCTTTCTACTCTAGGGATGAATAGTTAAAC